ATAATAATAAGGGAGAAATGTGGGATTCACATATAAATCAAGTATAAAAATCCAGCGAATATTCATATCTGACCTGATTGTTTATAGTTCATAATGAGAGATCAAAATTGAAAGTTTTTGTGATGACTGCTCTTGTGCTGTTAACCATGTAAGAACTTATTCACTATGTAAGAATTTGTTCACCATGTAAGAACTTGTTCGTTATGCTTCAGAAGATCGGAGACTGATGAGAATTAGGCTTGGGGTGGATTAATGATTGTGCATTGAGTCCCCTGTACAGAATTTTATTGTTGTTAACTGTCAACAACCATTTGATCAATAAATATGAGAGATGCCCTCTCAAAAAAAAATTGGTGAAACTAAATAGTAAATACATTACAAAGCTTATTTTAAAACATCCAGTAAAATTATAAATTTATAAAAATACAAATATTATACCTTTCATGCAAATACAAAGCTATTTTAAACCCACTAAATTAAACAATAGGTAAAATGAAGAAATTTATATTAATAATAAAAACTGAACTGAAATAAAATTATCTGATCTTTTATCTTCAATGTGGGCTTAAGGAACAACATGTGTTAGTGGTATTATTGTTGACTTATGAGTGTATTTTTGTGCAACATTTTCCAAAGATTTAAAAAAGCTTTCTAATTCTGCATAGTTGTGGTAATATTTTCCTGTGTCTCCTTCCTCCCAATATCTCATCTGTTATTTAATAATTTGAGGGGATTCAAATTTCTAATTGGTTTAAATGTGGATTATTTTAATCCAGAGAGATGTATAACCAAATTTAATATTATGTTCATAGTTTTAATGTAATATATGGGTAGATAATAGTATTGTTCTGCCATTTTCCATCTTAAAATGAATACCTGAATCTGTCATCTTGAACTATGGTTTAAGTGTTTCAGAAATAATTATAATGCACCAATAAAAATATGTGAGTACTTAAAAATATGATAGCATAATGGAATTTAGAAAAAAAAGCATTCCCAAATCATGAAATAAAAGGAATATTCCCCTTCTCCTGACAATAACAGGAGATGACAGATGATTTTGATCACTACACCAATAGTTACCAAATCTACTCCAAGGACCCCAAGAACAGTCAGGAATTCCTGGGCTCCCCGGAAGTCATCAACTGGAAACAGCATTTGCAGATCCAAAGTAAGTAAGAGGGATGGGATGTGTGCTGACTCACTTCTCTGTCCTGAACAATTTTCCCCATGACTCATATCTCCTCCCAAGCTGCAGACCCTCAGCCTGCTGTCTATATTTTGAGTCAGCTGCAAATATACCTGTAAAGGGGGGAAAAATACCCTTAAAGTTTGCAAAGTTCATAGAAGGACCCATAACATAATTCCTTGATAGCCAAGGATTTATTGCATATTTTGCATACATATCCAGGCTCCCTTAGGGTGACTGGGTGCCAGGGCAGAGATTCCCCTAAGCTTTCCATTACTGCAATAAGAATGACAACTCATGCCATAAAGCACCTGCCAGATCCTGAAGGACAACTGCCCTGGTTACAAGCATGCCCTTTGGACTCAGACGCCCTAAGGTGATCTCTGCCTGTTACTAGCTAGGTGATCCTAGTCCCATGATTTATCCTCTCTGAGATCATGATTCCATATACAAGAACAAGGATAATCATGGTACCTAACACACAGGGACACTGAAAAGATTAAATGAAATCTTGAATAGGAATTGCTTAGACCTGTCAATGTATCAGTTAACTTTTGCTGCATGGCAAACCTCACAATTCTAGGACTCAGCAATTCAGGTTGTATTTTCCAAGGCAGTTCTGCTGGTCTCCTGAGGGTTTACTCAGCTGCAGCCAACTGATGGGTGTGCTATGGGCTGGTTGCTTTAACACGGCATCACTCACCCATCTGAGTGATTACTCTGGCTGTCAGTGCTGGCTGCTATGGTGACAGCACAGTAAGAGCATCTGTCCTCGGCTGGCTAGCCTCAGCCTATTCATGTTGTGTTTGTCTTAAGGTAATCAGGAGCACAAAGAAGGGGCAAGTCCCAGGGTGCAAGCTTTTAAGCTTCTCCCTGCATCCAGTGTGGTGAAAGCCAAGTCATATGGCCAAGGTCTGTTGCAGTGAAGGAGGAAACTGTTCCAGGGAATGGATACAAGGAGATGTGGCGCAAATTGTGGCCCCACTGCTGCAACATCCTACCACACTTGGGAATGTAATAAGTGCACAGTAGATGTCGGCTACCATGTTTTTATGCATCTCCTTTGATTATCGAAACTACATGATTACATAGCCCAGAAAACTTGTCATTGTCTTGGTATTACCACTAATGGCATGACTGTGGTTGAATGAATTTCTGGGCACATTTTCACTTACGTAAAACAGGTAAAACTGCACAAATCCTGACCACGTGGCCCAGGTCACAAAGCAGCAGCACCAAGCCCAGAGCCAAGGTTTTCTGACTGTAAATCCGCTGGAGAGCTTCTCCATAGACTGTACTCACGTCACCGCATCTCTCCTTCTGTCCCAAACAGGTTCACAGCCCAGCCTGGATGAGGTGATACAAAATCTTGCAGCCAGTAAATCCTCACAAGCCAAGCTCACACAGTGTTTTCTCTATATGATGGCTGAGACAATAAAGAAACTGGCTCCTTCCATGATGGATGTAGACAAGCTATTGACCAGAAGTAGCAAACCCAAGGCCATGTGAGTTTGATAAAAGTCACTCTACTGCTCACACCCCTCATTACTGAAGTAGCCTCCCAGCCTCTCTCCCTGCTTTCACGCCGGCCTTGGCGTTCTTTAAAGCACCGGAATCATTTTTGACAAAAAGGTAATTCAGACCATGTTCCTCTCCTGCTTAAATACTCCACCCTTTCCTTTCTCATGTCCCTGGTTTTCCCTCGCTGCTCACTCCTTCCAACACTGGTTTTCTTTCTAACCCTCTGTCATCACAAGCTCACCCAGACACCAAGACTGCATTTTGTTATTTCCCCTGCCTACTCTGCCTCTCAGGGCAACAAAAGTAAGAAAAACATAAACCTCCATACTCAGACTTTACTCTTTTCTTGCAACCTCTGTAGCAACCAAGAAATGTTTAAGCTCTCATCCCTGGATGTTACCCATGCTGCCATGGTGAATGAATTCTGGCACTTTGGTGGCAATGAGCGGAGCAAGAGATTCATCCAGCGCTGCATCCGGACCTTCCCCAACTTCTGTCTGCTGGGGCCCGAGGGGACCCCCGTGTCCTGGTCCCTGATGGATTACACAGGAGAGATGCGGATGGCTGGTACCCTGCCTGAGTACCGGAACCTGGGCCTGATATCCTATGTCATCTATACCCAGACCCAAAGTCTGAACAAACTCGGCTTCCCCATCTATTCTCACACAGACAAGAGTAACAAAATTATGCAGTCAGTGAGTCACAGGCACAATCATATCCCCATGGCCTGTAGCTGGAACCAGTGGCATTGTGTGCCTCTGTGAAGCAGCCCTGAACCCCTTCCTGATGGTGTCACAAGGGCCTGGACCGTTGACTGGAGGAGGAGACAGGTGGACAGAAAGAATAAATTGTCATTGTAATCATCAGTAAAGCTGTGAGGGCTGGGGAAGCACCATGAGTAGCCAATGGAACCAGGCCTTGCTGATAGGATTCCCTAACCTGTACCTATGGAGGCAGCCATGTTCTCTGGCAGTGGCCCCACCTAGAGGAGCTCCCCACACTCCCCAGATCTCTGTCCCATTCCATCATCAGCTGCATGTTGCTCAGATGCCTTCTCCTTGAACTCCCAGTGCATGGACTGGCAGAGCCTTGCCAAATCTTCCTGGGGGTGGGTAATATTTTCTGGGCATTCTGACTTATTCCTCTCTCTTCTATGGCCTTTCCCTTAGTGATCAGCAAGTGGATCCTGTTCATTAGTTCTTATTAGGAGCCCAGATAATCTCCTCTGACTGCTGCTTTATAGGTACATGAAATATATTATTCACGAATACATATATTAGGTTACATATAAAACACATGATGGAGCAGAAAGAGTTATTAAGTAAAGACTGATAGTTGCTTGTCTCCTCACTCCCACACCAGGGAAAATGACTCAGTGTTGTGCCTAAAAGCAAAGCTTTCCAAACCCACACAAATAATAAAGAGAGATCATGTTTGATTGTACCCATTGAAGATAAGTGGTTCGTGACAGGGAAAGCACTGGGTAAGCTGCTAGAGAAGGGAAATGGGAGCCTCCAGACCCAGGGGGTGGATATGCATCAACAGTTGAGGGGGTGTACAGCACAGCGCGGACACCTACTGCTCCACTGACCTCAGACATCATTCAGGAAGCCTGAATTCAGTGCAGGTCAGACAACTGTTTCATGGGAGAGTCCAGTTTGTGGGTATGGAAAGAGGTTCTTCCTGGTAGGTACAGGTTAGCTGGGAGTTTCCCACCGGACATTTCAGGAGAAACAGCACTAAGCCTCAGCGCTGGGCAGCAGGAAGCACTGAAATGAAGGGAGTCACGTGGATTAAGAACGTGGTCCCCTTTGGTCCACCTATGCCTGCAATTAGGCTATGGCACGGGGAATGAATTCCCCCCCACATGTACACAATAACTGAGGTTTAATTTCTTAGCCAGCCAAGGAAGTGAAGGCTCAGTTCAGAGCAGGATTTCTTGGCCTCGGAACAACAGACATCTTTGACTGGAAGTTCACTGTGGTGGGGCTGTCCTGTGCACTGCAGAATGTTTAGCAGGATCCAGGCCTCCACACACAAGATGCTAGTGACACCCTCCATCCCAGTCATGACAATTAAAAACGTCTTCAGATACCAATAAATGTCCCCTGGAAGCAAAATCACATCTGACTGAAAACCACTGTCCTAAACCAGTGGTTCTCAAATAAGATGCTTCAGAGTCACCCAACAGGCTTGTCAGAACACAGACTACAGGGCCTAACACTTTGATTTTCTGATTCAGTAAATCTCGGGTAGAGTTCCAGAATTTATATTTCTAATGAGCTTTCAAGTGTTCCTGATGCTGATGGTCCAGGGACCATGCTTTGAGAATCACTGATTTGGAGAACTAGAACATATTTTATTCCCTAGACCTCTAGAAGATGTCACCATGGAAGCATTTTACTTTTGCAGTTGTAGTGTAGATTTGTGTTCTAGTTGACTCATAGCATTATTAAAAATTCTTAAAGCCCCCATAAATGTTATTAAACAGTGCAATGGCAGACACCAAGCTACTCTTTCACTACTTCCCTATAAAACCTGAGGACTAGAGAGCATCAGTGATGTTTTAATAAAGGAAAATAAAATTTTCAACTATTAAGCGCTGTGCTAAGAATTGTCCAGCATAACGGTTCAGCTGGGTTGTTTGAAATCTGACCTGAAGGATCTTTGATATTTAGAGTGACGTTTTTACTGTCCTCCATGGTCCCACATGCAAGGGCACATTCTCC